AAGATAGTTTCTGGAAGCCAACACCCCCAGAAGGACTTATTAAGATAGTTTCTGGAAGCCACTACTGAGAATGTCTCTGGGACCCCACCACCACTGCTATATGATATTATTTCCAGGCTTGGGCTGCACCACCACCCTCTCTCCGATGTTACTTCCCAACTCCTAAGTTTGATTGTTGTAGATTACTATTAACCTGTCTTTATTATCCTAAATATCTTTGAATGACTATACCTTTACATTACATTTTTAAATGAACTGTGTAGGTAAAATACCTTAAACAAGAAATAGAAGCATACAATACAGTATAATAAAAGTAACATAAATTTCTATCAATATATAAAAATGTCATAAAACATGAGTAGAAACATATATACAGTATAACAAAACTAACTTTAAATTGGTATTCATATACAAAAATCCATACCAATGTAAAATATTTGGGAACAGTATTTGCTTTTTTAGGTTGAAAGTAGATTCAATAATTTACACTTCATCCTCTCATTTCTATATCCCCCCATTCCTTTTAGAACAAGATCCCTGAATCCAATCTCCTTCATTTAGTTTCTTCCCTGACTGTGATCCATAACAAGTTACAACCAGCCCCATAAATGATGATAAATATCCATAATTCACCAATAAACAAAATCCACCCACTCCACCTCTTGGGATTGTGGGCATTACATTTGTAGGCGAAGCTGTAGCCATACCTGCTTAGGGACTGGCTTCAGGTCTGCCTGCGAGGGCGTGGTCAGGGTGACCTAGAGTAAGACTTTCAGGTGGCTGGATTTTACTTTCAGTTTCCCGCTTTTGGCCAGCTGGCTAGGTCGCTCTGTAAGGAAGGCTTCCCTATTAAATACCCTTATATTTCTACTTGGCTCCGTATTGGTAATTTCCCACTATATCTGGTTGTCAGGAGCGGGATATTGGAAACCTACACCCCATTTGGGACAGGCTGTGGGTTCTACCGGGCCTACACTGGGAAAGCTCCCTCTCTCCACAGGTGTTCCCGGCTCCCAGCTGACCTGCTGCCGCTGAGCTGCTCAGAACCATCCACCCATCTTGGAGACTCACACAGACCTCCTACGGTTTTACCACTGTGTGCTCAGAACCAATTCGGACTGCAGCCTACCTGCGCCTGGAGGCCTCCAGCCCTTGAACCGAGTAGGCCTCTGGAGTAGGTCTCTGCTTTCAGCAGGGTCCATGGAATGGCCTTAAAGCCACACCTTAATTCAGTGGTTGCAGCAACAAGGCCGTATACTCTCTAAGATAATCGCAGCAGCTTTTGTCACCTCTTTCCACAGCTGCCACCAACCACTGTCAAATGCTGTGGACTAACTGAACACCCGTGCCACCCGCAGGTCAAAGATAGTTACTGCATCTGGAGTAGAAAGTAGGTAAAATTATGGCAGAATATTTATCATTTGCTAAAATTGGTAATATTTTTGCTTATTACATGAATTCAATGTTTGAGGAGGATGCTAATCTGCCAATTACTGGCCTATATGCCGTAATGGCAATTAGCTTGCTGGTACAAATAATATTACTAGTCAGAGTGGTCAGGAACAGGGACAGAGATAACCTAACCACCTACTTACAGGAAATGACAGCTTTACCCAATGAGGTTTTGGAGAACAGATTAGGTCAGACCACAATTGTGCAGCAAGTGGAACAGAAATTGGATAAGCTTGGCTCTGTGTCCAATACGCTAAAGACAGAGCTGTCTATTACCCAAGATGAGATGCAGCATATTTATGATAATATAAACACAGAGAGATCCTCCATGTCTGAGACCTTAGAGGCTAGGCTGTCAGAAGACCGTGACAAGCTAAAGATATCTGTAGCCAGATAGAAACTCAGATAGGCAATGTTACCCAGAAACTAGATGCAACGGTGCAAAATACCCAGCATAGGGTTGAAGAATTAGACAATGCCATTTAATCAGTTATTGAAGCATCCAAGGTAGCAGATCAGAAATTTGAGTCTAGATTTGAATGTTTGGAAGATAATTTACAGTACAGGGCTGACAGATTACATA